CATCACCATTTTGCTCGATGATTGTGCCTAGCATTGGGACATCAATTGTTGCCTTGAGGCTACCTGCGCACGTTTGCACTTCCATGTATCTGGTGCGAGCAAGCCACGCGCGGCCAGTAATGCTAGTGCTGGGAATTCCGGTTGGTCTTTCATCGGTAGCACCTCTTCCTTAATGACTAATTTAAGACCGTGTAGCGGTTGGGGCTGCCCTTGGTCTGGTTGAGGCGTAGTCTCTTTGGGCACCGCGATGTCTTCAAACCAGGTGGGGCGGACCGACTGGACACCTATTGTACTGGCGGAACTTGCGTTCTTGATGCTTTCCCTGCGCAGGCTGTGGTAGACAGGAGGGATCATCCATGCGGGCACAAAAACAGTGATAAACTGAACGTTCCAGATGACCTGCAGGTTCTGCGGCTTAATTTCAGGAGTGATGCATCTCACTTGACCATCTATGACTCGCGTGTACGATTCGGATCGGTCAAACGATGCTGTGACTTTTAGGCCGAGGTATAGTTCTCTAAACCAGTATTCTTTGAGCAACATAAAGGAAAGATGAGGTGCCCTCACTTCCAATACGTGCGTTGCTGGTATCAGGAAGGTGACTAACCATTCGGCCAAAAATTCAATCATCCTTGCTTCAAGCTTTGGGAGGATTTTCTGGACCGCCTGGAGCGCTGTCTCAATGTCTGGGACATGTGTAGCCGAGGGCAATCCGACTGTTCGCCTGGCATATTCGTCAGCAAAGTAGAGTCGGCACAATTTGGAAACCCACTGGCTTGGTTTCTCCATATCGATCGTGATCTTAGCCAGGGGCCATGGGTCGGGTAGCGTGGATAAGCAATGCAGTAACTCTGAAGTTAGTTCTGGGGATATAACTGGGAGCGCCCCTCCTTGTGGTCGATAATCTGCAGTTGCCCCTGCTGTGCCCTTGCTCATTTGTGTGTGGATGCGGGCCGCCTTGTGCACTTCTTGTATGGTGGACTCATATTGGTTGACCATAGCCCTTAAGTATTTGCATGCGCGGACTGCTGCCCTCCTTGTATTTGGCCCATCTTCGGCCTGATTCTTAGCGGCTGTCGCAAGGATGTCTCTCGCTTCTTCTTCCGGCGACCGAGTTGGTTCTGTACCAGGTGCAGGTGCAGTCGGAGCGATATCTTGGACTGGCGCTTCTTTAGTGCGTGGCAGGTGGCCGGGGATTGGTAGCGTTGGGTGTACCCGCCATCCATCAAAGAAGTATATACCTGACAAGGGTAGGATTTCCTGATCAGGGCCGGTCTGCGCCACAATCTGCCCAGTATGCGCCTTGTACAATCCTGAAGGCAGGCATACATATGTGGGGAAGGGTGTGCGATCAGCTGCATAGGCATACAGGACAACTTCCGGGAACGGGAGATTCTGAACAGGAATCCATTTATGTTGAGCTGCTAGGCCTGTCTTGACTTCTTGGAGGCGATCTCTGTTCAGCCACCCAAGATCTGACCCTCGAACCAATATCAGACGGTATCTCGCTCGCTTCACCTCATTGGTTTGTTGGTCCTGGTATTGGTTTGCGATTGCGAGGGGAGGGAATTCCCATGCGGGTGTTGAGTTCAGCGACCATCTACTCATCTGTGCAAGATTCTCCTGTTCTGGGTTGGCATCGAAGTCAGGCCATTCCCATGTCGTCTCTCCTCTTCGAAGGCCTCGGATGCCATATGCTATGGTCGCGACCACCTGAGCCATGCCCATAAGCCCCATCATGTCTAACGGGGAGACCAACAGGGTTAAGGATTTTGAGCGGGTGAGTCCCACCACCTGAAACAAAAGTAAGGCATTAGGCTGGCTCCGGTGACACGCTTGGGCCGGAGTGGACGGTTCTGGCCCCGCCTTCGTTTCACGTGGCCAGCGTGGGCACTTGGAGACATCAAGCTTCGTTTCACGTGGCAGGCGTGGCGCTTGGTGACCTGTCACTTGGTCTGGCAGGCGTGGCACTTGGCGACATGTATCTTCACTTTGTGTGGCAGGCGTGGGCTGGCTCTGGTGACGCGCTTGGGCCGGTGGACGGTTCTGGCCCCGCCTTCGTTTGACGTGGCCGGCGTTTTTTTCCTCTGGATTGGCCGATTCAATGGCTCGGTCCTGAAGGTGAGAATAAAATAGAAGGAAAAGGAGATAAGAAAATCTCGTGAACTGTGCAACTAATGGCGGCAAAAAACAACAACCGACACCCGGCGTTGGGTAGAAATGCATTTCCCCCGGTCAGAAATGCGTATCGACCCACGCAAAAAACAAGCAAAATCAACACAGAACCAAAAGCCAACAGAAAAGAGGTTCTAAGCCCAACGCAACCAACACATCACCACCGCCAATAGCAGTGATGGGAGCAGCCAACGCTCACACCAGGCGACCCGATGGCTCAGTTGGTATGGCGTTGGTCTTGCCAGCGCTGACAGACTGCCGGTGGTGGTTCGAATCCCTGCTGGTCCACTCGGGAGTCTCAAGTGCGACCCGCCGAAAGGCAACGGGCGCCGACCACAAAAAAAGAGCAGCCAACGCTCACACCACTGCCAAGGCGATCTCGTCGAGTAGTGGTATGATGCCCGTCTCAGGACCGTGCATGGACAGCTAGCCGCGGATCGATTCCGCCCGGGTACGGGGCCGCGATCGTGACGTGGTAGACGAGTAAGTCTCAATACACCGCGACCCGCCGAAAGGCACAGGGCGCCGGTCAAAAAAAAACGCTCACACCACTGCCAGCAACATCTATCAGCAAAATTAGATTTTATTAGAAAAAGTTGCACAGTACAGGTGTGCAGGTGACACTGCAAGCTGCCTATATACAAAGTCTTAAGCGCCTCTCAGCATCCTCTCAGGTGTTCTTTGGCGAGTCCTCAAAACCAATGTGATTAAGCGAGCCACGAGCACTTTCGTAACATCCTCTCCAATGACATAGGACCCAACATCGCATCAGCACTTCATCAAGGGATGCAGCCCCCTGAAGGGGGGCAGGCAAAAGCATCTAAAGGCGAGGATTGGCACTGGGTGCTCAACAATGGACAAAACACAACCAGTGTGAAAGCACGACTGCAGAGAGCTATGTTCCGTTTGATCAGTGGATTGTTCGCCAGCATTCGTAAGAAACGGAACCTGCTGACAAGTTGTCCATAATGCAGCCTGCAAGGAGGGCAGTAGTCATATGATTGCGAAAATATACCGACAACTTCGCACCAGTATGGGGGGTTGTGTGGTGGCGTCCAATGAGTTCGGCTCAGATGAACTGCACCAGCCCTCACCAGGCAAAGCACGAATATAGACTTGCCGGATCCGCCGCTATCGCTTATGTGGTCAACTAGTTTGGACAGCGCCAAGGCGGATTCAACATCCAAGTTGCGTTGCAAAAGGATTTGCCCAGAATGAGTGTCCTGACAAACTTCGCATCAAGAAGTGGACTGTGACTGAGCTGGTTGAGACTTGGCATGAATACATCTTCAGTCATTCACCAAGTAAGAAGTAGTCAAAGCCAACTTGCAACATGCTCCAGCAACGCTATGGAGGATCCTTTGCAGGCTTTGCTGCTGCACGGGCGCACCGAGGGGATCCTACAGTCCAGCCCAGAGGAGCATTGCAGGTGCTCATGCCCCATCAGACTATGGCACGCGCCGGCTACGGAAGCACCCCCAGCTAGCAGCACCCCTCCAGCAGCAGCTGAACCCCACAGGCGGGGGAAGTTGAATCAGTGCAACCAGCAGCAAGGAACCAGATAATATGCAATGAATAAAACAGTGAAACAAAGTGAAACAGTCCTAAATGTATGTAATGTATGTAATGTATGTAATGTATGTAATGTATGTTATGCATGTTATGCATGTTATGCATGTTATTTATGTTATTTATGTAATGTATGTAATGTATGTAATGTATGTAATGTATGTAATGTATGTAATGTTTGTAATGTTTGTAATGTATGTAATGTATGTAATGTATGTAATGTATGTAATGTATGTAATGTATGTAATGCATGTTATGCATGTTATGCATGTTATTTATGTTATGTATGTAATGTATGTAATGTATGTAATGTATGTAATGTATGTAATGTATGTAATGTATGTAATGTATGTAATGTATGTAATGTATGTAAGTATGTAATGTATGTAATGTATGTAATGTATGTAATGTATGTAATGTATGTAATGTATGTAATGTATGTAATGTATGTAATGTATGAAATGTATGTAATGTGTGTAATGTATGTTTTGTATGTTTTGTATGTTTTGTATGTTTTGTATGTTATTTATGTATGTATGTATGTAAGTATGTAAGTATGTAAGTATGTAAGTATGTAAGTATGTAAGTATGTAAGTATGTAAGTATGTATGTATGTATGTATGTAGAATGATATATATATATATAATATGCCTGTAAGAGATATGTCGATATGTATATGTGCACATTGTGCAAAGTTGAGTGCTGTTCGAAATGCAATGTTTGGAACTCCGTTCATGACGAAAAAAAGTTGACTATTGCGCAACCCACCCAAACATATGTCTTTATGCGGAAATTCCATTTGCAAACAAAACGCAGTCTGGAATTTTGACAGGGTTGAATGCTGCAACCACGACACATTCACATGCACAGGCGAAAACACCAAAATTCTTGCATTTGCCGTACTTCATTTCAGTGAGTTGAGGGTGAGTTGAACAGCAAACATTGTGGCCGCAGGTTCAAAATTTCAACCACTTTTGGTTGCATGCGTTTGAAACTTCATGATGACTTGATGCACCAATTGTTAATTTCATCGCGTGGTTATTGGATTTACCACCACCCTTTATTTGGACATTCAAAAATTTGACAAACACGCTTGAATGTTTCGCATATGCAGATCAACACACTCACACTCCATTTTTTGGTTTCATCTGCGAATCAACGAAACTGCCTTGCAACATGGAAGTGCAAAACATTTCGAAGCGAAATTGAATGTCGATTTATCGTTTAGATTGCATCACATTCAAATTAATCACATTTCTTGAGGACATCTTCGTGCCGCCCAAACCAAATGACACCATACAAAAGGATTGATTTTTGACATGAGAGACCATCTGCCGGGAAACCCATGGAAATCGTTTTGTTCAACAGGCATCATTGACATACTGTGTTTCCAGACCAAAAACTTTGTGGTGGAAATGCCGAGATGGATGGGAGTGAAACGGTAGGAAGGTTTGTGTCTTGATGCCACCCGTCGAAATGAGGTGGCATGGCGACATATGCCAGGGGTTCGCCACCATCAAGATGTGCTGAGCATCTTGGAAGAATCGAAAATTCGAACTTGAAAGAGGTTTTTTTACAATGGTTTGCTTCAAAACTGGTGGGCCTGTCCTGTATCGGAACCATCTTTCTGGAAAAGGTTAAGCCAAACTGGAACATCTTCTGGAGGAAACCGCATAAAATAGTTCAGTTGTGTGTTGGGGGTCATCAGGTGAATATAGCCACTGGGAGGAACTTGACGCATGATGTACATATGCTTGAGAATGTGTCATGCTGCACACATAATGGTGTTTGTTGAAGTAACATTAGATAGTTAGATTGAAAGTCGTTTTTTTTGGTGGTATGGCTTTCCAGGACAACCTGGCCTTGGAACAAACCATCGTGGCATACAGTGAACTGTGAGCCTTTAATTTTGTTTTGTGTGACTTTAATTTTTTGCGCTAATACTGAAGACTCCGGTAGTAAAGGATGGGTTGAACAGAGATGTTCCTTTTGCGACTAGTCAGATTTGGGATCTGCACTTTTTCTAGGGCTATCTAATTGGTTAGCTACCATCTTTGAATCAACATGTGTTTTGGAGAATGTTTAGAACATGGAAATGTTTACGAAGGGGGAAATATAACAAAACAAATTTGCTGCTGAATCCAGTCACCAACAGTCACGGATGCTGAAGCATCCTGAGGTGTGGCAATGTCTTGGTGGATGCACTGGTTTTATCGTGCGGATCGGCACCTCAGGTAGCGTAGCCAGAGGTGCAAGACCTGAATTACATAGTGATTTTCATGAAATTGAAAGTAAACACATTACACAAATATTAAATATCAAATATTGAATACTGAATATTGAATATATGCAAATTTGACATATCTGACGGCATCACTTTGAAACTTTGCGTCGTGGCATGAGGCCATGACCTTTGCTTAAGCTGTGCCGCAAGCGCTTTGCGACAAACACGTTCTTTGAGTGGTCGCACGGTGGGGGCGCTTGGCACGGTCTGGGCACTTTGCGATTTCAAACATCTTGAAACATCTTGACTCTTGAAACCTGGTTCCATAAATTCGAACTGTTCAAAACTTGACACATTTGAAACAGTGGTCATTTGTATTCTTCAAGGTCGGTCTTGCGTAGCCAACTACTTCATTAAAGGTTTTAACATTTCGCAAAACACACTCTTGTTGGATTGGTTCAACCGGGCTCAATTGCCAAAACGGGTCATGCTAGTCTGCTAGGCTGCGGATCAGATTATTTTGGCCTCAGGTCCGGTGTCTTCTCTGTCCTAGCATCACTGAACTGTGTGAAGAGGCTGTTGGAATCTCAGTGCGCGGTGATCGGTGAAAATTTGTGAAGTGTGCAATGCTGTGCACTGTCACACTTTGACACTTTTGATAAAATTGGACGTTTTCCCAGTGTTTCCTGGACGTTATAAAACCAAGGAACAAAATCTAATGTAGCATGTTTTAGCAGCGTTTCATCAATTCATTTGTCGAAGTTGGAAACTGCATAAATTTGGAGTTGATCATTGAACTATCCTACGGGACATATTGAAGGGTACAGGAAAGATGGAACGATTGAGGAGGTAAAGAGGAAGGTTTACCAACTTTTAGTGGCATTGCTTCACTGGATCCCCGATGCTGTATGGTATGGTGGGACTATGCTAAGTTGATAAGACTTGCTGCTTGCTGCCACAGTGTCTTCATGCCACTGTGTGCTTGCTCTGGAATTGACGCGGGAGTTGTTACCAAAGTACTGCCAGAGTTGTACATTGGATACATACATCAAAGTTAAGGAGGGCACTTCAGAAATGATCTCAGAATAATTGTTTTCAATTGTACTCTGCACTTTTTCAGCCAGAGTTTCCGACCATACAAACTGAATTTCAAACAATGCCGAGGCGAAGACTTTACTGAACCAGAACCGTTCGACACCTCAAGTTTCCGAAGTTCAGGCCAAAAGACATATTTTTGGGCAGCAGTTCTTGAGTCTTGAAGTTGCTCTTGCTGTTGAGATTAAGCCCATGTGAGTTTCATGACATTGATAGTGAGAAATCTTGCGCTGAACAACCAGCACAGAGTATGAAGTATGAATCTTCTTAACCCACTCTCGAATGCCTATTCCGAAAGGGATAATCCGAAGGTCAATTCGAGGTGTCGATTTTGCCGCTGAGTGCAAGTTGCAGCAATAACTCGCAGATAAAGATTTCTCATGGCATGAGCTCTGAGTCTGAGCTCTCTCGGTTTGGGAAAGGGCCAAACCAAGTGCAGGCAGAAGTTGCGATCCTGCCGAACAGCGCCTCCAACTTGAAGTCACCAGCAGGCTCGTATATCTGGACTATCTCGCTTCCAATGTCCAGGAAGATTTCAATTTGTCAATCTGTGCGCCAGTGGCCGCTACTGGGCGATTCGAGGTCTTGGCCAAGTGCTTTATCCTCCGCGCATTCCCAACGAACGTTTCCGCCCAAGTGCAGAAAGTACAGAGGCACTGAGGCACTGCATGATCACTGCATGCCTCAGCATGAGGACAGAGTTGGACGAAAGTTGGCCGAGGTAGTTGCCCTCGACGAGATGCAGAGAGTCCGCAGAGCATGGACAGATGCACTGTGATTCAAACATGCAGATGCACTGTCAAAAATGTCGTCACATGCTTCTCATGAGTCGAGTGGCAGTGCTTGTCTTCATGTGCAGGACAGTTCTGGCCCTAGAGTCGTCCCGCGCACGCACATACCAGCATGGTGCTGAGGATGAAACTGTGGAATGCAAACATTTTAACAAAATTCCTAGCACACTGTCTAGAACAACATGAACCCTTCTATCAACTTGTAGACATCACAGGAGGATGCTGAAATTGTAGATGTTTAAAGGATCCTGCAGGCAAGCAATGGAAAGGCTTTGTCTTACTCACAGGGAAATTTTGGTGACAACTAGGGTAGAGTAGAGCATTTTTGCCACTGAACAAACGAGACTGCCAACAGCATCCCAAACACGATCCATATACTTCCCAGTGACAGGAGAGAAGAAATCTGTGCTCAGACATCTAGACTTACTTTGTGAGTTGGTTTGTCTTGGATTCCTGAGAGCTTTCTACTTTGATTTATTTTTTTTTTGGCGAGGCGGTGTCAACAACTTCTGTATCCCCAAAGCAATGGCGGTGCGGCACCAAGCTGCTTATTTGGGGTCCGAGAATTCTTGATCACCCACTTGACTAGATTAGACGACCTTGGATTACATTCACGATCATTCACGAACTGTTGGAGTTTGCTACAGTGTTAATACATTGGGGGTGGGAGGATGTAGAATGATGACTGGATGATGTAGATAGAGTATCAGAGGGTCACCTGGCAAACACTACTGCGTTTACCACAGCATGTCCACGCTTCTTCTAGTGAACATAGCTACTGAACTTAGCCATTGGCAGGTTTTTGATGTCACGAAGACTAGCTTGCTAGCTGGAGTTGGATTTGCTTTAGCAATGAATTGGGGGCAGACTGGACACAGCTGCCGTGATTTTCAAGTCCAACAATTTTTATGGCCTCCCTGTTCCGCATGACTAGGGAAAAAAAATCCTAATTACGTCGAACTGTGACCCCCCCGGGCTCAAACCCCGCTGCGACCATCCCGCTGGAATCAGCTGGGTTTCGTCAGCACGCGTTTGCAAGTCCACACACACAGATATACCACACAAGACACATGATATTCACCGGGAGTGTGGTGAATGTAATGCAAAGTAACGCAATGTAATGTCATCCAATCTATGTGATGTTACCTAATCTAATGTAACGTAACCTAATGTAATGTAATCTACTGCGCTGTAGTGCAATGTAGTGTAATGCTGATAAAACCATTTTGTAAGTAGAACTTGGTTGCCGGAGTGTATTGTAAGCAGAACTTATGTGCTAAACCTTTTTGTATCCTTTTGTAATAAGGACTTGGTTGCCGGAAGAACAACTGTGGAAGCTGTACTATCTATCCCAGACACATTTTGTAGACACTGGGGGGCACGCGCCCCATTTTGTAGTATAAACAGGAGGTGCATAACCCCTCCACCGCTTTGTAAGGAGAACTTGGTTGCCAGACCTGTTTTGCAAGCAGGACTTGGTGCTAAATTGTCCTGTAACTAGAACTTCGTTGCCAGACCGTTTTGTAAGCAAAGCTTGGGTGCTAAACCGGTTTTTAAGTAGAACTTGGTTGCCAGACAGTATTGTAAGCAGAACTTATGTGTTGAACCCTTTTGTATCTTTTTTGTAATAAGGACTTGGTTGCCGGAAGAACAGCTGTAGAAGCCGTGCTATCTATCCAACACCCATTTTGTAGACACTGAGGGGGTATGCGCCAGATTTTGTAGTATAAACAGGAGGTGCATAACCCTTTCACCGTTTTGTAAGAAGAACTTGGTTGCCAGACCGTTTTGTAAGCAGAACTTGGTTGCTAGACCGTTGTGTAACCAGAACCTTGACATCGCCATTGTAAACCAAAACCCCTTGATCACAAAGTGCTTCAACCGAATAAAATTCAGTTGAACCACTTCGCAGATTCTCCTGTTTGTTTTTTTTCCACTTTATATTTTTTTCCTACTATTGGCCGGACAACAAGGGGCATGCCACGTGCGTTTTTCATGCATCACCTCATTGCCTGATTAGTTTTCGTCCCCTTCCCTTTGGCCTCAAATTTGACATGTTAAATGCCTTCTTGAGCATCACAGAATGCTGAATATCGTGTTTCAAATCTTGAGTAAATTGCAGAAAGGTGAAGATGTCCACATTCACCATGTTTGTTCCATACAGTGATGACATGCAAAACAGACAACTCTTGCCCTTCTTGGCACTTTGCAAAAATCCCACATGCCTGCGGTACAAGATTCGACTCAGTCCTGACAGTGATATAAACAGCTTGTACTGCGAATCCAGTCCATCCTTGTACATAATTAATCAGAATTACTACGTAACAGTACTGAATTCAGTACATTCCGTTACATCCAAGTTACATCCAGGTTACATCCCTGTTTGGCCGTTGCAGGGATGAGGAGCAAGTCTGGCACGGTCGAACTGTACATATCTTCCGGTTTGGCACCTGGCACCTGGTTGTGGCTTGTAACAGCTTGTATCCTTCATTTGAGCCGCGACCAAGATCCCTCTTTACCTAATTATATATTATAATAGATGGTTATAGATGGTTATACTACCTGGCCTATGGGAGATCATCATATAACACATTATCGGAATTCGTATCGACCAATGTGTTTTGAACGTTGCTCATTTGTTTGGTATTTAACTTATTGAACAGGTTAGACGGTTAGAGGAAACTGTGACATGCTAAGACCGTAAGACCATTTGTTGAATTTGTTGAATTCTTGAAGTGGCAAGTGATCTCAATATTTTTGGGCTTCAGGTGGAGGCCATGGAGCATTGTTCAGCAGCGCTTGTTGAGTATCGACGACCCACTCTTGAGGTGTCCTGAGCATCCGGAAGAACCAGCGACATATTTCTGCTGGAATGCTTAGATTGCTCAGACTCTTCTCATACTGCTGGACATATGGGAAGTCTTTGATCTCGATTTACAATGCAGGACGTGTTCCAGACATGGAATCAACAATACATTTGTACAGGCAGCACCTCTGGCGGACAATCCTATTTTGGTCATGAGCTATTTTTTGGAACACTGAAATGATCGAGACATTTTGAGATTTCCTACATTTTCCTACGACAGATCTTATGGAGCCAATCTTTGAATTTTGCTGTAGAGGCCACCAGCGACTTTGAACGGGAAACACTGCCTGCACCAAGGTGCAACCTGTGAGTGCCCCTGCATTTGCGCAGAAGCTTGGTGGGCATGTGACGGCAAGTGATGGAAAATACTGTCGGAAATGGATTTAGAAACGCTTCTTGTGCTGTGCTTTGTCTTTTTGCCTGGTCCACTATGCTGCTTCTGTTGGTGTGCATTGGCGTGCCTGTCGCGTTTGACCCTATCCCTCCATTTTGTCGAGCATGACTCATGACGCTACCGGTCACTAACTGTTTTTTTTCTTGGTAGTTGCCGAAGTTGTGGTTGGAATCTGATTAAGTGCACACTATCTATCGTCATTGGAAACTACGTTTCGAGAAACTCTTGACGAACATGCCCGAGGGGTTCAATATATCAAGTGATTGACAGGCGTAGCATGGTGGATAGCCTGGATAGCTGTTGTGTTTGAGAGTGCCTTTGAATCTGCATGTTGCTGCTGTGCAGATGATCTTAAGCGGTATTGGAGCGTTTGTCACGTCCATTCAGTATATTGCATACAGCGCCATTGGTTGTGCGAAATTTTCCAATCTGCGTTCGGATGGTACGCATGTGATCTTCAGCTGCATGGCAACTACGGAATTTTGACGTTACTTGTTGCTGTGACGCGATGGCTTCCAGTCTGCTTGTTAACTGTTTTCTGGTCATGTCACACCTTTGGAAACGTCCTTTCGACTTGCTTGATATGCACGCATACCCCACCCCAACCGGACTGCTCCCCACATGTGGAAAGGGCTGTGGTCTGTGTCAGTGTTTGAGAGTTTCTTTGTCACCCGTTTGACAAAGGGTGCTTTGGCCGTATCCAGGGCATGTGGTCTATGTCTTCAGCAGTGTTCGGTGAGTCTAGCTTCTCTTTTCATTTTGACTTTTGATGACTCTGGTGTCCTCGCGATTTTGTCCTGGTTGTAGAGCTTAGAGCTCAGCTTGATAGATAAGGCAAAGCAACTATTTAAGTTATTCAAGTCAATCATTTGTCTTGTTTTCCACTTGGGATGTTTGCCCCGTTAGACAAACCTGGTAAATATTGTATGCCTTGCGTATGGTCTGGGGATGGATTACATGATTGCATAATGGTTCGATGGATTGCGAAACTCGTATAAAATAACATAAAATAACAGGACTTCAAACATGAAAATAAACTTTGGCTGCTGTGGTAAGGCAAGAGGCCAGGCAGGACAGGCCCGCAAATTCTAAGTTTTGAGACAGATTGGATTCTTATTTGACTTGCTGCCCTGAGGAGTGTGTGATTCAAAAGAATGGCGTGCACCGCGATCACGAGGCTGCTTGAAGTTTGATGCAAGATGTTGGACAAGACATGTCCAGCAAAACTTCCACTGTAAATAATGATTGAAGTTGCGCCGGGACTGGTGAGACAGGTTCTTGGGCGTTCTAGGATGATTTTATCTGCTTTCACATCAATGATTTCATATGATTTCATTGTTCTTAGTTAGTCTCAGTTGGTCTTACTTAGTCTTAGTTAGTCTTAATTGTTCCTAGTTCTCCTATTGTTGTTCTTGTATTTTTTTCTTACATGATTTCAGTGTGAAAAGGTGATGCGCGTTGCACGCGCACACGAGGCCCGCTGGTTGTGTTAGAGAAGCTCTGTGAAAAACACATTAGAAGGATTTTGGAAAAATCATTCAACATATTTTTCGATAGATATGACGGATATTCATGGATAGTCCAAGTAAGTATTGTTGATTAAATTCTGGCCTCATGCTGGAAACTGGGTGAAAGTTTTGAATTTTGTGGTCTCGTTGAATTTGTTGCAAAAAGAATTCAATACACAAGTTGGCTTGAGCATGCTTGAGCGCTGCGCCGACAGAGTCTTTATGTATAGGTCTTCAAACACCGAGATCCGACAGAGTTTGCTCTGAGAGCTCTGAGAGTCACAGATCTGCCAGATCTGCCGAAGGTTTTGAAATCACGCGCTGGGGCACTTTTGGATGAAGCGATTGCACTAGAGGCTGGTTTGACCAATTAAGGCACACAAAGTCAAGTATTTCAAGCAGATGCAGGCATCCTAGGGGGTGACTTTGCCCCTTAAGGCATTGAATCAAACTTGGATGGAATCTCAAAAGGGCAAGCATCGTGCACATGGTACTAGAGTGTTCTTTGAGAGGTTTGCCCTCCAGATGTTTTTAGCTGTCACGTCAGCAAGGCTAAGATACGGAATTCTTGTGCAGTTCTGAAACCTGAAGCCAGGACGACTTTGCAATGGTCGGCGACCGGATCGCTTGGCGTCGCAAGGACAGATCCGTCAAGTCTTGAGGGCTACGATGCTCTCAATTCGATGATTTGTCAAGTCTTGGATCAGACCATTGCCTCAGCTGCAGGGTCGCCAATACGAGTACTTATCCGACTTACCCTAGGCTAAACTTGCGGATCACAAATAGAAGCACGTTCTAATGCTTCCCCTCTTCGGAGTTCTGATCCCAGGTTTCAAGTTTAGGTCAAGTGTGTTAAAGGTTGCTGTAGCAGATGCAGGGTAAACATTTTCAGGGATTCTCAAGTCTCCAGTGCTAGATAATGTGCTTTCAAGGTCTCTGATGGTCCCCTATTTAATTGTTACTGCTAAACTTGGTGCTCCCCACTCGTATGTATATGCTCTAGGCATTTATATATATATATATACAAAATATATATACCACCGAAACGGTGGATTTGTCCTCCATTGGACTAAGCAGTGCACAGTAGGAGCAATGCAAAGTGTGCATGGCCCCTGCGCAAAGATGACACGCTACAGCCCATGTTGAGTGCTCAAAATAGTGCTACCGTTGCATGGTAGCGGAGCTATCATTCCAGGCGGTCTGATAGCTCGGGTGGCAGGACCCAACCACCCGTGGGGACAGGACCCAGATCCCCTAAGGCATCGTCATAGCGGTGCCGTGCTGCTGAGCGGCCATAGTTGGTGAAGTGCTGGATATACCCGTGATTCGTGCAGCTGCGCTGCTGAGCGCTGCTGAGCGCTGCTGAGCGCTGCTGGTGGTGGTGGTTTCTTGGATATCTTGCGGGTCTTGACGGCATTAGAAATCATCATTGCAGCAAACTATGGACGGAAGTGCAGATGATCAAGTAAATCCTCAATATGTACAACCTGGTCAGCCAGTAAATGTTCAAGCACAACCTCCCCAAGGAAACCCTCAGCAAATCCAGTTTGAGATGTTGATGAATCAGCTAATGCAGACCTCAAATGCGGCTATTAGGGCGGCAGAGTCAGCTAATGCTCTAGCAAGTGCAAGTAGTGCTTCTACTTCCACAGCGTCAGATAGTGGTAGCAGAGACTTGTACAAGTTGCTTCAGCGACCTTCAATGTTTGCACCCGAAAATCGCGAGCAAGAAGCTGCACAATGGAAAGACTGGTTTTGGAGTTTGCGTCAATACCTAGCTGTGGTGAATCCCAAGTTTCAATCTGATATTGCTCTGATCCTTCGAGATTTGGACAAAGCCATTTTGATGGATGACTTGGATGGTGAGAAACAAGCTAGGTCGCAGTTCCTTTATTCTTTTCTTTCATCGCTCATGAAAGGGCGGCCTTTGACCATTCTCAAGAACATCGGTGACTGCAATGGATTGGAAGTTCTTAGGAATTTGGTTCAAACTTTTCAACCGTCTTCAAAATCGAGAAGTCTAGCCATCATGAACTCGATCATGGGATGGAAGGAGTTTGACATGCGTCAACCATTGTTGTCACAAGTATTAAAGCTTGAGGAAGCGTTCCAAGAACTAGCCCGCGTTTCAGAACCATTACCTGAAAGTATCAAACTGGCAGTGCTCACGCGAAGCATCACAGGGCAACTAAAGACGTATATCAATGTCCATTTAGATGAAGGTGCGTCATATGACCAACTACGTGAGTCAGTGTTACGCTTTGACCGAGCTACTACAAGATGGAACACTTCGACAGTTCTAGGACAAGATGAAGCAGTGCCCATGGAGGTTGACCGCGTGCAGAAAGGAGGTAAGAAGGAAGTCCAGAGCAAAGGTAAAGAAGGCAAAGGTGTCAAAGGAAAGGATTTCAAAGGCAAAGGCTATCAGCAGTTCAGAGGAGACTACAGTAAAGGCAAAGGAACAAGTTATTATGATGGCAAGGGCAAGAGCGAAGGTAAGACCAAAGGCAAAGGCAAGATTGAGAAAGGCAAAGGAGACTACAACAAAGGTAAGGGCAAGGATCAATTTGGAAAGGATGGTCGAGGCAAAGGACAAGGAGGTTACCAATGGAGCCAAAGCTGGAATCAAAACAGCAACTATGTCAACTACAACAGTTGGAATGGAGGACGGGTCAGGCAAGTAGAGGAAACTCAACCTGCCCCGAACCAGGTATCGAACCCAACGAGTTCAAGTGTAACTTCGGCAGCCAGTGGAGGAGCCGAAAATCAGATTCACCAACAAGGAAAGACAGTGAGATTGATCACTGAGCCCAATGCGTTGGTATTTGACTTTACATCTAGTCATGAAAGAGGAGGTGAGAATGTAGTTCGAGCAATCAGTTGTGGTCATTGTTCGTGCCTAGCTGCAACGGCTTTAGATGAGAATCAAGAAGTCTGCAGTGTTGAGCGGTATGATATCAGTGATGAAACCGACTGTGAGCAACTTCCAGATGATCTCCCAGTTTTTGACCTACGCAGCGACCATGTTCAAAATCATGTTCGAATGGTTCAAATTACTGATGTGGGTGACTCATTGAATGAGATTGTCGAAATTGTCATTGATTCGGGTTCAGATGCCAGTGTCATTCCGTTTTCCATGGTGAATGCTGGTGAGTATGTCTCCAGAAGCCAGACAGGAAATTCCATTCTGTATGATGCCCAAGGCAATGTCATGGAGGCAGCAGGTGAGAGAAAGATAGAGGTTGAACTTCAAGGAGAAACCGATACTTCAAGTAAGGTTCCAGTTCTGTTTCGAGAGCAAGTGCATGTTGGACCTGTCAGCAACCCCATCTTGTGTTATGGACGGCTCCTTGAGAATGATTGGGACATCACAAAAGTTGATGGTTCGCCATTCCTCCGGCACCAGACAGGTGTTCAGGTTCCAGTTTACTACAAAGGCCGAAGCTTGGTGATTTGTGGTAAGATCCGGTCAATTGAAAAAGTAGATGTTGGAGCAGATAGTGTGCGAGCCATCAAAATTGAGAATCCACCTGACAAGTTCAAGGAGTGCCCGTTGGGTTGGAGTTCCGTAGGCGACATGAGGGTTTGCCACAGCATGCAGAAGGTGTATGTAAATCCCAGTGATGACCTCCAAGCGTCGCAGCTCTCCTACCGTACTACCTTGTTGAAGTTTGAAGATGGTTGGAGATTAGTTGAGCTATGTGAAGATTGGCTAAATGTCTCAGGAAGAAACATGGTTCAGACCATTAGTTGGAAGTATCGAGAATGCTTGACAGTGATGACCAGAAGCCCTGTTAGCCTTGAAGGGTTAGGACTTTGCCTCTCAATGTCTTCTACAAGTGCCTTAAATTTGGAGTCTCCATCAATGCCTGCTTCAGAGCCTGCATCCTTGACAAACGTCTCAGAACCAAGAGTACCTGTCTTGGGGCACTTTGCTTCCTCTTTCTCTGACTCTGGTCCTCAGGTTGCTTCTGATCGAGAAGCGCCACGTGAACAGCAAGAGCAAGGTTCTGGCTTCGAATTTGATCGAGAAGAGCCGGTACCAGTAGAAGTTGAAGGTGCCTTGGGTGCCTCAGCTCAAATTGCTCATGGAGTACAAGTGCCAGAGAGACTTGAAAGTGGAATGGATGATGGTACTTTTATGGTTGAAGGTGTCACGGTTTCGGCGGATTCCAGTTCTAGAGTGTTGAAAGCAGCGTGCAAATCTCTTGGGTTATCTCAATCTGGAGGAAAAGGAAAACTCTTCGGTAAGATCCAATCATACTTTGACCAGAAGCGTATTGAGTTGACAAGAGAAGCTGCTTTGAAAGCCAAAGAAATGAATGAACGAATACCCGCGTCTCCACCACTTTCTCCTCTACCTAGCCAGCAAGAGATTGAACAGCATCTTCTGAGCCACATACCCTTCGCACCTTGGTGTAGTTCCTGCATAATGGCACGTAGCAGACAAGACCAACATCGCAGTGACGATACGCGGAAAGGAGCTAGGAGTCTGCCTACCATTAGTATGGATTTTTGCTACACCAGATATGATGAAGGCAAACAAGGTGAGGCAACAGATGAAGTGGATCCAAAGGTGAAACTTTGTGTGCTTGTGCTGCATGACTCAGAAACAGGAAATGTTTGTGCGGTACCAGTTGATCGAAAGAAGAACGCAGAGTTCCTCACAGTTGAGGCAGTGAGATTCATGTCGTGGCTTGGTTACTCAGAAACCATCCTACGGTGTGATCAAGAACCTGTCATGTTAAAGCTTCAGGATCTGATCCAGCAATCTAGGTTGAAGGCCAATCTGAAGACAATCAAAGAAAATCCTCCCATACGCTCTCCTCCCTCCAATGGTTCTGTTGAAAATGCAATCCAAAGGATCAGGGGTGTTAGCAACACATTGCTTCACTACTTGAGAGAGAGGACAGGGTTGAGCTTTGGTGCAACAGACGCACTGACAGCTTGGAGCTGGCATCATGCAGCTTGGCTGCTGAACCGTTACTCTGCCAGGCATGGCCAGACTGGCTATGAGTTGTTGACAGGCCACAGCTACAAAGGTAAGGTTGCAGTGTTTGGTGAACCAATATTTGCTTACACCTTCATAGAAGGGATGCCAAAAGGAAATGCCCGATGGACTCGCGGATTGTTCATTGGAAAATCATGTTTGAACGATATGTACATCGTGAGTTTTCCTGACCGTATTCAATTGACCAGATGCATCCGTAGAAATATGGAGGATTGGACTTTGGCGACTGAACTCTATGTCAAGTGCAACATTTTCCCATGGAAAATTGCTGGCATGATTGGAGTGAAAATGATCCCAAAGGTCAAGCAAGATAGATCAGAACCTCAACCAGCTGAGTTGGAAACCTTTGGGCTTGCAGTTCCCTTACTACCACCTACCGGTTTGAGAAATGAGCAACCTTCTACACCTTTTACTCCCGATGAAGCTGCTAGTGATCCAGAAACTGACGGATATGAACCCAGTATAGCACCTCAGGGCATGGAGCATGAGGTTGTTGAGCAGGCGGGGGAGAGTGAGGATATTCCCAGAGAAGGTGTTGCAGGAGCCGCAAAACGTGCAAACGAAGAAGGTGATCAGACGGGTTCTAAACAGCCAAAGGTTGAACCACAGAGCTCATCAGGGATCGTGAG